CAGAAATGAGAATAAACTGTGTCATTAATATGCTCTGGGGCTTTGTGTGGCTTTTTCAAAAGAGGAATAACCACTCTTGCCAAAATGTGTAATTTTGCAATAAAAATCCAGTGTTAGAGTTTAAGTGTCGTTCTTCTGCAGAGCTTCAATTCTTAAAGTCTGTTTAGACAAAAACACATGACTGGTGTTTGATGGAGGAGGAGACATTCTCTCATAGTGAGAGAAGGATGGAGGTCTGTGGCAGCGGAGGAGTGAATGAGATACAAATCACTTGTGTGACAGGAAGAGACAACACAGTGGAGTATGAACATAACTGAGGTGAAACTCAGGCCTGTTAACTTCAAGCTTCCTAATAATAGAAACTGAAAGGAAGCAGTGAAAACTGGCCGACGGTCTGTAACAGAGAACAAGCTTCATTTGTAAAGAAGGGTTTAGAAGAGTACATGAGGATAGAAACTATAACTGTGATATCACAGCATATGTATGTGCTGTCCTGATGGATGCAGTAAAACTGATTTGTCTGGTTTTTTTATAGTGTTGACTTTTCATTCTTGTGTTGTGTTTTCTGACTGGTGTTTGCTGGAGGAAGAACCAGCAACACTAATTGTTCCAGATTCCCATACACAGGGTGAGATGGAGGTCTGCAGCAGTGGAGCTCTGAGTGAGGTACTTGTCACTTGTTTAACAGGAAGAGGCAGCACAGTGTGGTTTGAACAAAGTGATAGTCATCAGGCCTCTTAGGTCAAATGTTTCTAAAAATAAAATATGAAAGAAAGCTGACAACATTTAAAGCCTCTAGAGCTGTAAAAGTGTTTCAGAGAAAGATGCACTGTGATAAAGTGACAACCAATATACTACATGTCTGAATTACAAGAAATATTTATATAGTTTTAACATTGACATCCCCCCCAAGGAGGAGAGGTATCTATCATGAGAAAGGTGTCAAAGGTTGTTTGGAATGATATTTTCAAAAGCCAGTTTTGCTGCTGTTCAGCCACAACTAGCTGCACAACCTTTTATTCTGAGTGGCATCAACTGTGCACAGTCTCTAAAGACACAATGCACGGCCCATCTGGGCTACTCATTTCAGCTGCAGCACCTTCCACCCCCTTTCACTGGGGTAAAGAAAACATGTCTCTTAGGAGGAGCAGTCAGTCTGTCCACTGATTCAGGATGTTCCTCAGAAGGGAGCAGCCACACTGACAGATTCTACTGAGACACCCTGGATCTTTGTGACATGTACAGTCCACAGTACATGCTGACTTTAAAGGGCCGACTGAAGCTGCAGTCCTACTGTATGCATCATGAAGGACCATATCCTGATAACTTCATTCTTTAAGTATGTCTAACCATTTGAAAGCAACAGTGATGCTTGTGTCTCTTTAAAACAGCATCTATTTAATTATTTGTGTCAGGCTGGATCTCCATCTCAGTTTCAGAGTTTCACACGGTAGAGGTCCAGCCTGGTGAGGAGGTCACACTGGCATGCACCAGCTTCACCAGTTTCTCCTCACACATACACTGGTTCAAACTGGGCAGTGGATCTAACACCAGCTGCATCTCCTCTGTGCTCAGCTCTGACAGTGGTGCTTTGCTCTGTGACGGATTTCCTATTGGAAATTTACCATGGCATGCAACACCACTGCCCTCTGTGTCAAGATCAAACCAGTGCATTTATCTCACTCAGGACTATATTTCGGTCTATGACAACTCCAGATACTGAGGAACTGTCAGTGCAACATATTTAAAGGTTCTAGGTAAAACTGTTGTGAAGTCTTTTCTATTGAGACAAACATATGTTCCCAGTTTACATGGTGGTAAAGACTTAATATTGTCACAAAAAATATCAAATTTATTTCACCATGGCATTTGTGATGAACTGTTTCAGCTTTCCACAAATGACTAAAATCAAATCTTAAGGCAGTAGAGATGAATCACTGTAAAAACTCTCATTTAATACCATCATGTAGAGAATCCCCATGGAATGAAAATCCAGAGTCTGACCCTGGGTCCTGTGACCGTTTTCTTCATCATAGTTGTGACTGGTATGGCTGTCACAATCACCCATCGTCAGACTGGTACCTGCTCAAGTTTTAAATGTTTTCATTTAAGTTGTCAGCACAATTAACAATTACAAAACTCACTTACTGAATTACAGTAACAGCAAATTGCTTAAAATAACTGAGGTGAATTCATTTTGAAAATAGATTTAAGATTAAGGTCCAATTTTATTATTTTACATTGTGTAAGTAATGTATTCTCACCAACCCAGCCTTGTAAGATGAACTGCTTCCATAATTGTTATTAATGAAGAACAGAATCCGCCTCAGAACAATGTGAATACTGTTTTATGCTTGACTAATACTTTGTAATTTACAAAAACCAAAATTGCCATGCTTTCCCTGCACAGACTCATCTATTTGCCATGTGTAACTGTTTGGACTCTTCTTTCCAGAATCTGGACTCCGACCCGAAGGATGTACCGCTGAGTTTGTATTCAACAACAGTAAGAAGCAGGAGGCCTGCATCAGACAGACAAGTGGAGACTCGTTATTCATGCTGCCAGTAGACAGACACCTCAGTCAAAATCTGTCTTCTTAATTTTGTTTAGAGCATATGACTGGTGCTTGATGGAGGTTCCAGAAACAACAAGATCTGCTGCTCCACTGTCTGCAACAGTGAGGTACACATAACTTGTTTGTCAGTAAGAGATACCACACAGTGGTTTGACCACAGCTGAGGTGAAAAAAAATCCTACAGCCAAAGCTTTGCAACAATCAAGTGTGAAATGAAACAGTTAATACTGCGTGACATGATCATTGTCTTTACATCTGCAGGAAAGCCACACACGGTACATTTACAAGGCAACTGCATATTTTAACTGTCATTTCAAAGTCTGTATAAGGACATGACCTCTTTAAAAAAAAATACATTTGTACCTCAGTGTTTGCCTATTGTCATGTATTACTCCACTGTGGTGGCAAACATTACCATCTGCATCAGTGAGGTATGTACTGTACATCATTAATGAAGTCTCAGCTAGACAAAGCCTGGTCTTCAGCTCCCTGCATCATAACCGCACACACACACACACACACACTCATTCAAAGACACTTGAGTCAGTTCTAGGGGACTTGAGCACATCACCATTCATATGACCTGGCATTCAGTGCATTAGTACACTCAGTTGGTCGCTATAGGCCAAGCTGTTACGTTCAGTTCAGTACAAGACTCGTCTTTACAAGCAGAGATGCGCGATCAGTAGGCAGAGATCAGAAGTGGCAGAAATGCATGTACAGTGTATCCAACATGTGGTAAAACTCAAATACAAATTACACACTTTACTAAGAACCATGTGCTCAGTATTAGCATATGTTCTTCCATTTCCATTACCTGCAGCACCTGTTTATATTTGGAAATCAAATACTGCACTTCATTTGTTAAACAGACATGTAAAACTTTATTACAATGATTATTTTGATCACAATTAAATTTTTCATTAAAGAAAGGTTACAAAAATGTCTGTATTAAAGAAAATGGGAAAGGGCAGGTCAGACCAAAAAAATAAAAAATAAAAGTAATAGCTAAGGGTGAACAGCTCAGAGGCAAGAGTCATCATTTTGTTTGTGGCTGTTGTACAGTATTTCAATATGCTTTTAAATGAGGAAGTAACACGGAGAGTCCCAGCTGAGCTGAAAACCTTCAGTCATGAGTGAGGAGCTCCACTGCTAAAAGCCACTGATTTGCTCAATGACAATGGAGAAACCGTTTCAGTTCACTCTGAATACCTCCAGTTCAATGAGCTCCCTGTAAACTGTGTCACTGCTCTCCTCATCACAGGTCACATGTAACACAGTCAACATTTACATAAACTCCCATCACTGCTTTCTTGTGAAAAGATAACTGTAGCAGAGAGACACTGTGCAGCATTGTATCAAAGCATTTACTCTGCTGAAGGCTGCACGGTTTGCAGACATGAGAGACCAGAGTAGGTGAAGGTCCCATCCACCTCCAGTGTGATATGCGCCTGAATCTACTCATCTTTGTAAACATTACTCCAATAATTATCATTGACCAGGTAAGATTTAAACTGCTATTACCGATGCATCAATCAGCTTCCATTGAGTGTGCAATATAATAAAGCAAACATTATGCCAGTGTTAACAGGTTTGCTGATGTTTATCGTTAACATCTGCATCACTGCACGAGCTAATTTTGTATATCATTAACAGTTTATAAATATTAAAACCAAATGGCAGCTTTCACTGGTTTAATCAGAGAAACTGTGGGAACTACTTTCTATTTTAATTATACTCAAACATGCATGTTAATACTATGAATCAAATAATTACATAATTAAAGTTGGCAAGAATATAAACATTTGAGAATGAGAATAAGGCTTTTTAATTACTGGCTTCAAGCTGAGTGGTAAACTTACATCTCCATGGCTCCACATAAAGCAGGTATTGAGTGAACAAATAGTAAAAGGAATACATAAGATTTAACTTAAAGCATCTGCTGGCTATATAGGTAAAGAACGGATGATGAAAACCAAGATCAATAACACTTCCTTGTTTTGTACAGACTGACAAGCCAATACATCTTTTACCGACTTCTAAAATGTTAAAATATGACCTTATTAGATTGTTTAAAATCATGGCAAACATCATAATGTCCCCTTCTCGCTGCAGCTATTATTTTATTATTATTATTATTTACTGCTCGTTTGAGTAAACGGAAAACTAGAACACCCGCCTCTTTCATGTTGATACCACCCTTACTGGAGCACAGTTCCGTTGCCTCCATTACAGTGGTGCAGTCCGACTGTATGCACAACGATGACCCTCACCTTGGTAACGGCTTTTCTCTGGACCTTCAGTAAGTACGCCTGCTGATTTTTCCGAATACAATTACTAGATTTCCTTCAGCACAGTAATCTGCCAGAACTGAAATTTACAAACTTATAACATGATTTAAGCCTTGTTTAGTTCTTGTTGAAATACACCTTTATAGATGAATTGCTCCTTGTCTGTTTCAGGCAGGATCTCTGTCTCAGTTTCAGAGTTTCACACGGTGGAGGTCCAGCCTGGTGAAGAGGTCACACTGACATGCTCCAACTTCACCAGTTTTCCCTCACACATACACTGGTTCAAACTGGGCAGTGGATCCAACACCAGCCGCATCTCCTCTATGTTCAGCTCTGACAGCCAGGCTTTGCCCTGTGATGGATTTCCAAATGGCAAATTTAACATGGAATCCAACAACACTACTCTTTTTCTCAAAATCAAACCAGCGAATTTATCTGACTCGGGACTGTATTTCTGTGGATTTTACGTGGGTGGAAACCCAATAATTGCCAGTGCAACATATTTAAAGGTTCAAGGTAAGATTGTTGTTAAGTGTCCTTTGATTAAGAAAAAAAAAACAAAACAAAAAAAACATCATATTTCATTTAAAGTCCATGTCAAAATAAGGACTGAACTCAACCCACAAGATGCTGAGACCTAAAATTTAATACTCTTTTTGTAGGATTTTCAGACCTGCTGAGTGTGATCCTGGGTGGTCTAACTACTATCCTCATTATAATCATCATTAGTCTGCTTGTCAAAATCCAGAAACTTCATACAGGTACTTTTGTTTAATTTAGCCCAAGCTATAAATGTGGAAATGTATAAATGCAAAGCTCCTTGCTTGCCAAAAAGCATGAACAGCATCATTTTTAAACACTTAAGTGACCAAATGCACCCTTTTTTGTCATTTAGCTTATGAGGGGAGACATAATCCACAGAATGAGGTAAAGTCTGTTTTCATGTCATCTGATTCGATTCATTTACCAAGTAATGTCATCGTCCCCACAAACCCAGTTGTGCGAGATGAGTGATGCTAAATATTTTCATTTACAGAATCCAGACTCTGATGCCCTGCACTATGCAGCTGTGAGTTTCCATCCAAAAGCAAACAGCAGCAGAAGGCCTGCATCAGAGAGAGAGCTGGAGTCACATGTTGTGTAAGCTGCCACCAGATAGACTCAGGAAACAACTGGAACTGCAGCTCACAACTGAGGCTTTTTTATGCCCATCTGCTTTCGGGGTTAGGAGGAGTTACCATCAAGGTCAAAACCATTTAATAATAAAGACACTGTGTTTAAACTGTGCAGTTTCTTTTAGTTATCTCAAGAAGAGAACAGTCAGGCATTAGAGCAGCCATTCAGTGTGGGGTTATCACTATGTGATACATGCTTACAAGAGTTCACAAACCCCTGCTTATTTTCTAGGTGACTTGTAAGCATTAGTGCTAGCACTTACTCCTAATAGCAACTTTTTTTAATAAGCCCAACCTTTTTGTATTTGTGCATGTGTGTTTCACAGATGTATCAACTCTTCCAAGCCAGAGTATTTTGTGGTGTTTAAGGAATATGACTGATATCTAATACAGGACAGCCCAGTAATGATATGGATTATTGTTCAGACTCTCTTAAAGTGAGAGTTAGAGGTCTGGAGCAGTGAAACACACATCACTTGTTTAGAGGAACAGATGTGAGCACACCTGTAAAAGCTTAGTAAGAATACATCCTAGAAGGAAGCAGTGAATCATTATTCTCTTCTGTAAAATAATCAAAATCAATGTTTAAAGCTGTGTAGATGGTTCTCAGAAACAGCCAACTCCTAAACCTGAAAATGGCATTCAAACGGCAGAGAGCCCGGTAGCCTATGGTGTAGTGCTAAGTGAACAGCAGCCTTTCACTTCATGTCTAAATATTATACAAATTCCACCCACTGACTCCTCCTGACACGGTCTGCTGCGGTAGCAGCACTGTCTGCAAGAACAGTGCTGTCTCAACCACATGAAGACTCGTGGTCAGCTGGGCTCTATTTTTTCCTATGTGACACTTTCACATTGTGAGCAACAGCACAGCATAGAAACACTACAGCAGCAAACATGAACAAGAACATTTTTGGATTTCAGCATTCACTGGGTAGGTTGTGAGACCAAAAGCAGCCTGCTGCTGACTAAGAACACCCAAACACATTTTGAAGGAGTATATTAGACAGCTCCTGGTCAAGGTTGTCATTATTTTACCTTAAAATAGACCTTTAACAGCAGACATTTTGTCATGTTACATTAAATCACAATTGCACTGTCATGGCTCAACAAAACACTTAATGGAACCAAACCAGTGATTACTAGTGCTAATGACAAATCAAAATGTCTGCTGTGAAAATGGTCCATAGTAGAGCCCTGAAAAAGCAACTAAATAAATTCACCTCTGTGAACTGTGATATCTTCCCAGAAACAGGCCTATGACATAGCATTTAAATGTTCAACACAAGCGACTGTGTTAAACTGGCCCAATAACAATTCGGTTTTTGTAATAAAGTATAATAATGTTAGAAGCTGTAGCCTATTGCAAACCTTCTCAGTTACAGTATGTAGTAAGAAATAAGCACACAGCACTTATTTACACAATACAACTTCAACAATTAATTAAGTAAAAGAGCTTGCTGTGATCTCAAAGTTGCATAGTGATAACACAAAACTGTGCAAGTAAAAGCCCTCTACATACTATAGTGCCCCAAACAGTAAGGTGCTGCCCATGAGGCTCTGCCCATGGACAGCATGCACGCAAATACAGAAAGTGACAAAAACCACTCTGCCTATGAAACAATAAACTGTTATATTCACGCAAACATTACAGGCAATATAACCACTTCCAATGTATGGTGAAGTAATGTTCATACAAACAGCCACAGCAGGGCACTGTGCTATCAGAACGCCATATAACAAGCAGAAAGACACGAAGTGAGTTTGTTTGACTTACCAAAGTATGAAGCACCTTGTCTTTCAAAGTGTCCAAATGTCCAGCAGCTGCGTCACACGTCTAAGTGGAGGTGATGTCCTCCACCACAGAGACTCCACAGGCATCTTGGCTCAAGTCCAGCTCCTCCTCTCCATGTTTGTTTGTTTGTTTGTTTGTTTGTTTGTTTTATTTCTTCATCTCTAGCTACACAAACAAAGATCCATTTTCACAGTAGGAGCCAGGCCTTAATCGCAGATTTTCTCGATACCTCCAATTGTTAGTATTAACTCTCCTGGTTGTTTCATTTCAGTGACATTTCTAATTTCCTGTTGAGCCACTGTCCTCAAATCTTCTCCACTGTGTTTTCCAGAGTACTTTCACAGGCTGATAGTGCTGTAGCATGGTTACTAATCTAGGACTGCTAAATGCACCTGACCTCAATTAACAGCCAGCCCCGCGTGCCACCGCCACAGGCCCCCTGACATCCCACACATCCAGGGGGCGCTGTTTCCCCGATACATTTTCAGGGTAACTGAATGATTATTTAGTCTTTAAAATGGTGCAAATGTGTAGAGCTGCTAATGCAGAACAAAATCCATGTAATTTTATGTTTTGTAAAAGTAATTACTTTGTTTTTGTCTCAAACTGAGCTATGTGAGAGGAGTGACTGGAAATTTTCTTACTGATACAATCTGGGCTCCGATGACCTGAACTACACAGGAGTGTGTTCATGAGTAAAAAGAAACAGCCGTGTGTCAAAGAGACAGCTGGTGGTGTATGTTGAGGATGTGTCACCTGAGAGATGGAAGGAGCTGAAACTGTGCTGTAATTCAAGTGGGATTAAGTGGAAATACCAATATATCCCAGTGTATTTTATAAACTGGTCATAGGTTTCCAGTACCATCTGTGTCATCCTAAAGAGAAGTCTCTACCACTGGAAGACAGGTGCAGCTGCATGTTATTTTTTCCGGTTTGCAACTTTCACAATGTAATCAATAGCCACAACATACATTCACTAAAGATTAAACTGTAATGCTTGTTGTCTATATCTTACTTTTGTTGTAGCTGAAAGAAGTGACACCCAACTGCAGCACAGATCAAGACCACACATAGAAAGTTGCTATATTTTGTTTTGTCTTTGCATGTCTGAAATAGACACACAATAATAATAATGAAACTGTATATAAGTGCCCCCCACCTGCCCAGTTGCCCTTTTGCACTGTGGTTACAAATAACACTGTGTGTATTAGTGAGGCATCTCAATCTCACGAGGGAGGTCTTGACCAGAGGGAACTCCACTTCAGCTGTCTGCATCATCAGCTCAAAGGCCCTCGTGTTCCAAGAAAACAACAATACTTCATGCCTTTTTAAATGTTTTTGAAAGATTAAATGCAAAGATATCTGAAGTTACATTTGATGTACTCATAGTAACATTTAACCCTTGTAACCACAGTTAAACAACACAACATAATCAGTCAGGATGCATTGTTCAAGTTAATATGATCTTTTTTTTTACCCAGCAGACAATATATTTACCACAAACTGCAGTGATTGATAATGGAAATAAAACACCATTGTGTATAATAATGTATTTTATGTCTGTTTTAACATGACAGGCCTACAGTTCTGTTTTTGTGCAGCTTTCGTACTGTATATCTACAGCATGTTCAGGCAGATAAACAGAAAAAATCTACCAAAAAAAAGTGATTAATTTTGATGGTCATGCGTTGACATTCTACACTTGATTGATCGTGACCTATGACCTTCTGTTTAGGTGTTAGGATTTTGTTTAAATGCAGCACAAACAGTTGGAAATTCAAAACTTTTTAAAAGAGGAAAGCAAATAAATAAATAAATAAGCACTTCCAAAATGCTAGAATAATTTGGAAGTGCAAAATAATTCACATTCATAAAACTGTTCTTGCTCAGTCTCTGTGTCTGCCTTCACAAAGCACTGACAAGCTTTGACAACACCTGTATGATCAGTGTTAAAAAAAAACCCCCGCTTCTTCAGACACTCTTACAGGAGCTTAGAAACATTGCAGTTCGATGATCATATGCACAATGAGGAACTTCCCTTTGACCATAGTTCTACTTCTATGCGGTCTCAGTAAGTAATGCTATTAAAAATACACCAACTGCACTATATCTGAATTCATATAAAGGAAGTTTTTGGATAACTCATCGGTCGTGTGTTTGTTTCAGGTGGGATCTCTGTCTCTGTCTCTGAGTTTCACACAGTGGAGGTCCAGTCGGGTGAAGAAGTCACACTGCTGTGCTCGAACTTTTCCAGTTCTTTAACTCAGATAATGTGGTTCAAAGTGGCCAAGAGAGTGAAGCCCCAGTGTATCTGTCATTTATTCAAGTCTACTGAGCCTGCCAAATTCTGTGATGGATTTCAAAATGGCAAATATGAAGCGACATCCAACGTTTCTAATCTCTTTCTCAAAATGAAACTGGTGGAATTGTCTGACTCTGGACTGTATTTCTGTGGATATTACATAACCAGAACGCCGGTTATTGTTGAAGCAACATATTTAGAAGTTCAAGGTAAGATGGTAGTTAAATCCTGCCTGTCTTTTAATTGATGCAGCCAGTTTGCTTGTCAAAATAAGAATACTATCAACGTATCATTTAATATAGATGAACTCTATGATGTGGACTTTCATCAGATGTTCTTGCCTCACATTATAATGTTTCTGTTCAGACCTAAAACAACTACAGGTACAAAATGTACAGAGTTTAATTTACCAGTGTTTCTTGTAGGAGAGTTTGATGGATTGACAAAGTGGATAAGTGTGATCCTGGGTGGTCTGACTGTTGTCCTCACTACGGTCATCATTGGTCTGCTTGTTAAAAACAAAAAGCTTCAGAAAGGTACTTTTACTAAGGTTTACTATGCTTTGACATCCATCCTGTTTTTAGTTACACTTATGTCATAGACAGATCCATTACTGCCTGTTTAACAAAATGAATCAACGGCAGTATGTTTAACTGTGTTAGTCAGTTACCCAGGGATATTGTTTCTGTCTTTTAGCTCATACTGAGGAACAGAATCGACAGAGGTGGGCCACAGGGATAGAGGTGATGTTTATTACATTTTTAAAGTTTTGTATGTCAGTAGATGTTACAATCACAAAGTCTATGTGACATGAGGGACTGACAGTGCTTTTATTCACAGAGTCAGAGCTCAGATGATCTGAACTATGCATCAGTGACTTTCCATCCAAAGACAAGTAGAAACCTCAGGCCTGCATCAGAAAGAGAAGTGGAAACTGTAATTTATTCTGCTACCACATAAATTCAGGAAGCACCTGAAACTACTTTCCTGAACTATGCATCAGTGACCTTCCATCCAAAGACAAATAGAAACCTCAGGCCTGGATCAAAAAGTGAAGTGGAAACAACTGTAATTTATTCTGCTACCACATAAATTCAGGAAGCACCTGAAACTACTTTTTCACTGGTGTGTGGTTGTTGGGTGTCCAGTGCCATTGCTTTAAACCATCTCCATAGTGTAAAAGCTGCACACATCACACTGCCTAAAGGTCTGTGATGGAGATTCATGCAAAATATATAATATTGTTTGTTTTTTTGATTATTGTCTCTTTATTTTTTCTGTCATACTTTGATTGTTTTACACCAGTGTTTGACAGAGGAGCTACTGTACTGGCAACTAGATTATCTCAGAGTGAGAGTTCAGTAGATGTGTGCAACAGTGCAGTTTCAGGTTTAGTAGAAATTTTACACATGACAGATACAGCTAAATGAAATACCATTTCTCTCAGGACTTGTGTATAAACACTGACTTAGTAAAAGCACATCCTCTTACGGGAAGAGTCGGCACAGTGTGGTTTGGACACAGCTGAGGTGAAGATCGTGAGGCCTGTTGACTCAAAGTGCAAAATCCAAAATGAAATAGAAAACATCATACAAAAGAAGCCTTTTGAAGAACATGCGGTACAGTTGCATTGCTGGTAGTGGTATCATGAGAAGGTGCAAACTTGTGAAAAGCTGCAGTGTCACATGAAATCATGCACCCTACTGCACAGGACAGATCACAGCAAAACTATGGCAGGAGCACAGTGACGTGCGGTGAGGTTGACAGCTGGTGAGGCACTTGACTCTTTTACAGTCAGATTTACAAATACAAATGAACCGTTAACAAATTGTCTGTTAACAATGCGTTATGTTTTATATCTCATATCAGCATTCTTCACACAAACGTGACCCATATTTAATTTGAGGTTAAAATTTATTCCAATTGAGCTTATTTCTAACCAGAAATAATAAAAGTTTGTGGTCTTGCCTTTACTTGTACACAAAATCCATTTGTCAGCTGGTATGTATTACAAACCCTTTTACCATTCAAATCCAATATTAAAACAAACGTTTTCAATAAAGAAGATCCTTCTGGACAAAAATGTCCAGACTGTCAAAAATGTTTTGATTGAAAGTCCAGATTTGCGAATTTTCTCAGCTTGGAAATGTAATCTTCCATTTTGATAAGGCGGATTGTAAAGGAAATATAAACAAGCACGAAGAAGATTGTCTAAACACGTTACAGAACTACATTTTATACATTATCCAGATTATGGCAAGGCAGAGCATATAATCAGAGTGTTTGAAAGCATTTTATTTGTGATATATAGAGGGACAGCGACACACTATTTGCATCGCATACAGTTTGTGAGGATTACACGATCCACCGAGAGGCACAGCAAAGTGCTGCCTCATCACGCATCTCCTCCATGTATTTGAACGGGACATACGGAAATTCCGCTATTCTTTATTGAAAAAAATTCCTTCAAAATCGGATTCTAACGGCAAAAGGGCCTACAACACACACCAGCCGACAAATATTAACATTTATTATATTTTATGGTCAACTTTTTTTTCTTTTCAAGATTGACAGGGGAGGCTCTGTCTCACCTGCCTCCCCTGACCGCACGTCACTGCAGGAGCAGCTTCAATCTGTCTCTGGCATGACTCAGTCTTCTCAGTGTGTTTACAGCCATAGGTGTATTCCAGTCACAGAGTTAAAGTCTATAGTTTCATTTGTACAGCCTTCATATTTTACAGAATGCCCAGAAACATGTACATTATATGGATTGAACCTACTGCTCTGGTCTGACAGTAAACTATAACCTATTATAAGCAACTGCTGTATATCAAACTGTGTAAATTACTACTGGCAATGTTTTGTCTTTTTGCAGTCTTGCTGTAATACTGTAAACTTGTAACATATTTAAAATAACACCAGAAAAAGTAATGTTCATTTTGATGTCTGGAGACAGTGGCAAACTGACTGCCACTATCAATATTACAAGTATAAAACATAATTAGGTTTTTGATGCTGGGCTATGCAGAATGCAGAATGTGGGCTCTAATGACCTGAACTATGCAGCACTGACTTTCCATCCAAAATCAGAGAGAGCCAGCAGTCGTGCATCAGAGACAGAGCTGGAGCCAAATGTTGTGTACGCTGCCACCAAACAGACTCAGGAAACAACTAGAACTGCAGCTCAGAGTGGAACTGATGCTTCATGTCAATTAGTAAATGGTTTGTTGGAGGAGATACTTGTTTTATTTGTTGCCAGTGTCTTGTCCAAAATTCAACATTTAAAATAAAGAGCAAATTGGTGTATCAGCAAGTCAAGTTGTCTCTTTTAAGGCCAAGGGTTCATTTCACTTACAGCAACAGGCCTCTTCCCTCAGTCATTAAAATATTTACATCCATACATTTTTATAATTTTTTTTTTCTAACACTAACCACTACTTTCAATTTCTTCACTCGGAGCAGCTGATCATCAATCCACCTACAACCGGAGCACAAGAACTTCATCATCTATTGTGCCAGTTTAAGACATATTATCAAAGTTGGAATTTGCAAACTTGTTAGCAAATAATCACATATTAAACAAGAGTGCAGATGTTTGTATCAACCTGATCAATATCTACTCTCTCATTCGCTCCGTTTTTCTCAACCATCTTCTGAAATATTTATCTGGC